GACCTTCCCTTTTCTTCTTAAAACAGGAGATGAAACTCCACATAAAAGAGGCCCTCCTTATAACGGGAGGAAAGAAACATTATCACCAGCGATGGCGAGCTGAGGCCAAGATAAATCTAATCAAACAAATCTTGTTTAACCCCTATCTTCCTGGTTACTTTTCCACAATTGCCGCTCTTTGTTCAGCCTAGTATATAAACACATAGACCCAGTCACTTCTTTGGGTCTTACATTTTTCTTTTGAGGGCTCCCACGTACTTGTAAATAAAATGAGTATGCATTTTTCCTGTTAATTGTCTTACGTCAGTTTAAATCTAAGGCTCAGCTGGAGACCCTAAGAGGGTAGAGGAGAAATTTTGCCTACCCTACAGTACCAAACTGGTCAATGAAGAGAGACCAAACTGCAGCACTGAAACTGCGCAAAAGGAAATGTAACCAACAACAGATGCATAAAGATGTATATATCCAAGCCCCTGGGAATATTTTACCTTTTTGGCTTCAAAGAGCCACAAGAGGATTGTTGACAAGGGCTGTCTCAGAACACAGACTGGGACCTGCCTCTGCAGCGGGTGTAGACCAAGTCTCAGGTCAGAGCATGATGGATGGAGTTCTGTTTTTTTGTGGCGATGAAGGAAGGAGCTGTGGCTTTTTGAGGATGGGCATTAAAACCTTGTCTGGGATCAGACAAGCAGCTGAGATTGGGAGAAGAGTGGCTAAGAGGAAGACCACAGGACCACAAAAATGATCAGGATGAAGGTCCAGATATTCCAGCCTGCTGGCTTCACTGTGTCCCCCTGGCCTGCAGCAACACAGGTGGGAGAGGCGCCAGTGATGTAGTCCCCACCCAGACCCCTCTGCTTTCACAGAGAAAGGGTCATGCACATCTGAGCATGAAGCTTGTTGCCACCATTACCTTAGGTATCTTTCTCTTCTTCCTGCCGTTCTGTGGGTCTCCAAGGTTAAAGAAAGTGTCGTCAGGGCTGCTGGGAGTGGAGGGGGGGCTGATTTTGGAAGGGGACCCAGTTCCATCCCGACTCAGCTTCCTAGTGTCCAGCAGTTTGAAGTTCCTCCTCTCTGAATTTTGTCGGAAAAAAGCAGGTTTGGACAATGACTGCTATGAGGGAAAAGGAGAAAAGAAGAGTAAATGAATTCAAACGAGACTAACCAGTGGATAACTGGTGGTACCAGGGACAAGACAATGAAATTGAGAAGAGGAACTGGTCTAGTTCCTCTACACCTTCCCAGGGTAGGTGGAGTTCGGTTATACCAGTAAGTGTTCAATGAACACGTATCATCCAGTTACCAAAAATGTGTGATGAGTGATATAAATCTAATCCAGTTTCTCTTTTTTTTGAGAAGGAGTCTTACTCTGTCACCTGGGCTGGAGTGCAGTGGCGCGATCTCAGCTCAATGCAACCTCCACTTCCCAGGTTCAAGCAATTCTCCCCCTTGAGCCTCTCAAGTAGCTGGGACTACAAGCACACGCCGCCACGCCCGGCTAATTTTTTGTATTTTAGCAGAGACAGGGTTTCACTGTGTTGCCCAGACTGGTCTCGAACTCCTAAGCTCAGGCAATCCGCCCGCCTCAGCCTCCCAAAGTGCTAGGATGACAGGTGTGAGCCGTTTCTCTTCTTGGACAAGTGCAAGGTCACCTGCCTCAATCCCTAGACGTTA